ATGATGTGGTCGCCTCGGTGATGCCCGTAGGAATAGAAGTGTGCCTTGCCAAGGAGGTGGAAGCTCAGGGATAGATGCTGTTGGGAGAGAGGTCGGCCACTTGTATGTGGGAAAATGGGTTTGTACGGCTGACGCACTGATGGGCCTCCGCTATGCAGGTGCCAGCATGGCATGAGGGTGCGCTTCGCCTCATCTGCCACTTTGTGCGTAGACAGGCTGGCAGTGCCTGTCTTCCCTGTCAGGTTGGGTGCGATGGGAGGCTGGTGGGCCTCTGTAGTTATGCAAGTCGGCAGGGAGGCCGGAGTGCCGTCTTGTCAGCAGTGTCCTCGCTGGTATCCTTCTTGATGCAGAGCGGGTTCGCAAGGGTGGGGCTGTGGGTGACCGCGGCGGTGACGTAGCCCATGTTGCCAAAACCTGCCTAGCACGCCTCCTCGTCAATTGTTCCGGAGGGCGAATGAACGGAACGGGGTGTGTCCCGTCCGCGTGTCCGATTACCGTTGTGCACCGGGCAGGGCTGAGAAGGCAAATGCCTGCACTGGCCCCGGATGCGGACAGGAGAGAGTAATGACACAACTATATTTCCCGAATTCGTATCGTAGCGAAACGCGTGGCTGCCCAAGCGCAAAGGTGGCAACGCGGAACGAACACGTCACGAAACTCGGCCCGCAAACGTGCACGAATGAGCGGGAGGGGAAGGAGGAGGAGGGGAGGAGGAGGCGACGGGGCCAGGGCGCTGTGCGGAAGACCCCTGTGACCCAAACTGTCCACTAGTATGGACCATACAACAAACTGCGGCAACACGTCCCCTCCTCGCTATAGTCCGTGACAGTTTGGATGCCCGAGAGGAGGACGGGGTACCTGCGGTCGAAGGGGAACGTCCTCGGTGTCGGGCTTGCTGCTATCGGTGAGCAGCATCCGTGTGGCATATGGCCGCCGTAGTACGTTTTCCCTGTGGGGAAGGCGGAAGGGTGCACTGCGCTTCGACCATCTGACGAGTGCGTTGGCTGGCTGCTCTCGAGTCGATGGTCACCAGGAACCCTTGGACGAGGAGCTCGGCTTGCGGTTGGAGCTGGCTGCTGTTACCAGGGTTCCCCGTGGTGGGTTTTTGATCAGAGCTGTGCTTCGTTCCCTGTCGGTCGGTGCTGGTGGTGCCAGTCGGTGGTGTGGTGCGCCGATCTGGAAGGCCTCCACGGTCGGATGCATCGTCGTCGTTGTCGGGGTCGAGCCGAATGATGTCGCGTTGGTCTTCTGGTTGTTGGAGAGATCGCTCATTTTGCTGATAAGGTGGTTGGCGACGTTCTTCTGGGAGGCGGACATGGCGAAAGGCGTAGGGGTGCCTGCTGGAGTGTACCGTATCCCCAGCTTGTAGGTGTGGATGTCCTGCCGCTGGATTCTTGCATAGCATGGGGTAGGTAGGTCGAGCGGGAGCTGAATGATTTCCCTCCTCCTCCTCCTCTTCCTCCTCCTCCTCTTTCTCATAGTTAGTTTGGCTCAAGCTCGCTCCGCAGGGTCGCCTTGCTTCCCGCAGCGCCGCTGATGCCGCCGACGCCGAGGCAGACGGCCCTGGAGGTTGCCCGCGGGGCGACCCTGGCAGTTCACGCTGCTGCTGGGCTGACGGGCGGCGTGGAGCGCGAGGCGACGCGCCTGCTCCGCGCCGCCGAGGGCCTCACGCGGGCCGCGGTGGCCATCCTTGCGGCTCCTCCTGCGCCCGCCGCGCCCGCCCAGGCGCCTGGCCCGCGCGCTGCGGCCCCTCGGCGGCGGCGGCGACGGCCTCGAGGCGGCGGCGGCGCGGCTCAGGCTGGGCCCGCAATCATGGACATCGACGTGACCGACGAGGCACAGGGGGCGGCTGGCGCAGCGGCGGAGGGCCCCGCGGCGGTTGCCGACCAGCCGATGCTGGATGACGACAGCTGGGCCGACGGGCTGCTGGTGCAGCCGCGCGGCCGGCAGCCGCCCAGCACAGCTCCGCGCGAGGGCAAGGGCAAGAACACGGGCAAGGGCGACGAGCACGGCGACGAGGGCAAGTACGCGCGCCAGGAGATCTGGCAGTTGCGGCTCAGCGTCACCCGCTTGCAGAAGAGCGCGGGGCTGCCCCAGCCGAACCCGCCCTTCGGCCGCGGCGAGCTCATCGCGCTGCTCACCGACCTCGAGAGGCGCGTGGCGGCGACCGGTGGCGGCCGCGGCGGGGGCTCAGGGGCGGCACATGGACGGCATCGGTAAGACCGTCATCCCGTGCTTCGGGAGCGAGGCCGTGATCGACTGGGGCGCCTCGTCGATGGTCGCCTTCGTCACGGCCGGGGGCCTTGCCCGGGAGGCGGGCCCCCGTGGCCAGGGGCCCTAGCCTGGAGGCAGGGCCCCTGTCGGCGCGCCCGCCGCCGCGGGCGCTCGGGCGGCGGCCGACCGCCCGCCTCCCCGATGCGCGCGGATCCTCCTCCTTCTCATCATCAACATCATCATCATCGTCATCATCATAATCAGCATCATCATTTTCAATATCATCATCATCATCGTCGTCGTCGTCGGTCGGTCGGTCGGTCGGTCGGTCGCTCGGTCGGTGGTCGGTCAGTCGGTCGGTCGGTCGGTGGGTCGGTCGAGTCGATGAAGCCCGAGCCAATTGCGACTACGGAAAGGTTCGGTGGGTCCGTGTCGTGACTTGCGCGGGTGAGGACGACGAGGAGGACCCCCCTACTGTCGGTCGGGGTGGATGAACTTCGAGGGCGCCAGTCGTTTTGCCGACCTGCCCTCAGCATCGAGCATCAAGGACTCCTCCTCCTCGTCCTCCTCCTCATCCTCTTTCTCCTCCGTCTCCTCCTGCTACCCCAACTCCTGCATCTCTCGTCCCTCCCTTCTGCCTACTTCCCGGGGCCCGAACTGGAGGGCGGCTACGGAAAGGTCCGGTGTGACTACTCCCTTAGGTGGCTTCCGACACCGCGCGGACCCTTCAGCCCTACAAGCGATCGCTGCTTTCCGATAGCACCAATCGTCCGATAGCGGCCGACTCTGGACCAACGGCGGCGCTCGGCCTGTCACGCCCGCGCCAGGGTCGCCGACGCGTCAGAGGGAACATGCTTTCATGCCACGCTCAACTTAACTAATAGCCTCCTCCTCCTCCTTCTCCTCCTCCTCCTCCTCCTTCTCCTCCTCCTCCTCCTCCTCCTCCTCGGTGGGTCGGTGGATGAGGGTCGGTGACCCGTGGCCAGACACAAAGGTGGAGTTACGAGAGGACGGAGGAACCGCGCGCAAAAACAGGTACAGAAAGGTTAACGGAGGAGCCCGCAGCAAGACTGAGCAGGCTGGCGTTGCACTGCGGCAGGCATTTGCTCCTCTTCTCTCCCTCGGGCAACCACGGCCCCTGCCTGAGGCGCGCCTTTGAGGTGCCGCAGGGGGGCCTCGTCCAAGAGCGCGCAACAAGCCAATGCTGGAGAAACCTCCCCGAGGCATCCGAAGCTGCGACGCTTCCAGCCGCAGCCCCAGACCTCCCCGACCCTTCGCCTGCGGGAGGGGACCGAGGGGGAGGAGGAGGAGAGGAAGGAGAAGGAGAGGGAGGAGGAGGACGAGAGGAAAGGGAGGAGGAGAAGGAGGAGGAGGAGGAGGTGGAGGAGGAGGGGGAGGAGGAGAAGGATGATGATGATGATGAGGAGGAGGAGGAGGAGGAGGAGGAGGAGGAGGAGGCAGCCTTTCGCCCCGAGCCCGCAGACGGGCTCACAAGACCACATCGTCGGAGATTTGCGGTCGGGAGCTCTTGCTCCGGGCGCCTCGGCGGCGGCCCCGGCGGCGGCCCCAGCGACACGCCTGCGAGCTGCGAGCTGGGAGGGTGTCGCTCCGCCCCCCCCTGGGTGGGAGCCCGGGAAGTCCTCGGGACTCTGACGCTCCGGGACCGTGGCCAGCGTGCCGTGCCGACGCGTGGCAGGTCAGAGGCGGCGGCGGCGGCGGCGGCGGCGGCGGCGGCGGCGGCGGCGTGACGCTCCTGACCGGATCCCCGATCCTCGTCGTCTAGAGTTTTGCCGTCGCAGCTCGGGCCTCCACCCGCCGGCCAGGACGACCCGAGCGCCCCTGGAACGCTCTCGGCGAGGCGCAGCCGCTGGAGAGCCTCCCGGGGCTGGAGCACCGCCGAGGGCCAACGACCACGGCTTCAGAACCCGAGCCTCGAGCCTGGGCCCTTTGGCCTCGAGCCTCGAGCGTCCCTGAGCGCGGCGGCCGAGGGGGGCGGGCGCGGCCCAAGCCTCCTCCGCCGCCGGGCTCGCCGCCAGGGCCCGCGGCAGCCCCGCCAGCAGCGCCAGCGGCGCCGCGGCCGGCCTCGCGGCGCGCCACCGCGGCCGGCGCGGCGGCCGCGCAGGGGGTGGCCGCGGCCGCCATTGCGGGCGGCTCGCGGGCCTCGCAGCGGGCGGGGGCGGCCTCGCGGCGAGCGCTGCGGGCGGGCCGCGGAGGAGGCCGTCGGCGTCGGTCGCCCTGCGCAGCGCGCCGCCGCCGTCGAAGCCTCGTCGTCGCCGTCGTCGGTCGGCCTTCTCGTCGTCGTCGAAGAAGTCGTCGTCGTCGCCGTCGCGGTCGCCGTCGACGCCATCGTCGTCATCGTCGTCGTCGTCGTCGTCGTCCTCAGGCGAGGCCCGCCTGCAGGACCCTGGAGAACCACGAGAGCACTGCCCTCCTCCTCCTCCTCCTCCTCCTCCTCCTCCTCCTCCTCCTGCTCCTTCTTCTCCTTCTCCTCCTTCTCCTCCTCTGCATGCCGATCCGCCTCCTCATCCTCCTTCCGCCTCCGCATTGCTGTGTTGGAGCCCTGGGGGGGGGACACAGTTCGTTATGTTGGCAACGCCAAGGCTGTACCAACGTCCAGTGCATCCATTGGTCGCCAGCTGCTTCGAGGAGTTTCCACAGACCATCCCCAACATACCGCTCCCCATCCTCCACCCCATCTTTCCCGTCCTCGCTCTCCTCTGCGTCCCGCCCCTCCTCCTGCGGCCACTGGTGATGCTTGTCCCCTACAAGGTGGGTGCGCGCAGCACCGAGAGTGGTCGTACTGCAGGATCCTCTGGCAGAAATCCCTGGGCGCCAGGGGGGAGGGTCGGCTGAGGTGGAGAGACGAAGATGTAAGACGAGGAGGAGGAGGTGGCGGAGGAGGAGGGCGTGGTTGGCCATGTTTGGACTTCCAGAGGTCTCTGGAGAAGAGCGGGAGGAGGGAGGAGGAAGGAGCAACAGCAGAACGATGAGTAGAAAGGAGAGACGGAATGCATCGACGTGGGGACCGGGAGGTCGATAGTGCCACGAACATAACCAGCAGGCCTCAATCTCGGCCTCCCCTGGACCCTGCTCTTATCTGCCGTACTGGGTGGCCTGGTCTGACGCCTCCCTTTCAGTCAAGGAAGCGGGCCCAGAGCGGAATGAGTCCTGGAATGAGTCCTGTCTTCGCATCCCTCGTCGTTCTCTGGGTGTCCAAAGCATGGGGCCCCAGGAACCCAATAGCGAGGAAAAACATCGTGACTTGTTTCTGCAGGAATCCGTATTTCTTCACTCTGACCCAGGCACCTGACCATGACCTTTTCAACCAACACCCCCAAGCGTCTCGACACCATCCCTGGGAGTACTACTGCGCCCTGGGTCACTGTTTGATTGCCCAGGGGCCTGACACAGGGCCTCTGGCAGCCGACATCGACGGGAAGCGCCCGCAGTGAAAACCAAACACGACGTCGGCAGTCTGAGAGACCTCTTCGAAGGGGTCCGACGCCTCGCCGCGCGACGGTCTGCGGCGGCGTCGAACGCAGGGCTCCGTCGTGCCCGTGCGTGCCAGCCGCCCCTGCTGCGGACCCGCGCCGCGGGCACGCCCCCTCGCGCGCCCGTCGCCGCCGCACCGGCGCGCCCGCCCTGGACAGGTCAGCGCCCGCCTGCCTCCTGCACGACGCGCCCGCAGCACCCGCCGCCGTCGCTGCACCACCTGCGCCGCTGCCAGGTCAGGAAGCGGGCGGGGCCGCTTCCTACCCTAGCAGCGGCCTGGCCTGCGTCCTAGAACTGGATCCAGGCGGAGGAGGAGGAGGAGGAGGAGGAGGAGGAGGAGGAGGAGGAGGAGGAGAACAGGAGGAGGAGGAGAACAGGAGGGAGGAGGAGAACAGGAGGAGGAGAACAGGAGGAGTGAGGAGGAGGAGGAACAGGAGGAGGAGGAGGAGAGAACAGGAGGAGAGGGAGGAGGAGGGAGAGTGGAGGAGAACAGGAGCGAGGAGGAGGAGGAGGAGGAGGATGAACAGGCGGAAGCGAGGTGGCACCCGGGCCGAGGCCCGCCTTCCCAGGAGCTGCGGCTCGAGCCATCTGGCGCCACGGGAGGGCACCGCCGCCACGGAGTGACTGGCAGCAGTGCGCCAGGATCCTCCTCCCACCCTCCTTACCATCCCTCCTCCTCCTCCTCCCACCCCCCCATCCCCCTCCCTCCTCCTCCTCCCCCCCTCCACCCCCCCTCCTCCTCCTCCTCCTCCTCCTCCTCCTCCTCTCCTCCTCCTCCTACCCCTCCTCCTCCTCCCCCTCCTCCTCCACCTCCCCTCTCACCTCTTCCCCTCCTCCTCCTCCTACCTCCTCCCTCCTCTCCTCCTCCTCCCTCCCTCCCCCTCCCTCCCTCCTCCCTCCCTCCCTCCCTCCCTCCCTCCCTCCCTCCCTCCCCGGATGCGGGAAATGCGGAGCCGTCGGAGTCACCCTGTTCACCCCTCAGGGGCCTTACGGATGCGAGGCCGTAAGTGGCGCGTGCTGGCTCACCGTCTGCGCCCCGCGGACTGCCCCAGGTCCCCGCGCCCGTTGCCGAGGGGCCGAGCGGGGCTGCGTCGAACCATCCATTATTCCTGGAGTCCTCCTCCTCCTCCTCCTCCTCCTCCCCTCCTCCCCTCCTCCTCCTCCCCCCTCCTCCTCCTCCTCCTTCTCCTCCCCTCCTCCTCCTCCTCCTCCTCCTCCTCCTCCTCCTCCTCCTCCTCCTCCTCCGCCTCCTCCTCCTCCTGGCGGGGGCAGCGGGGGCGGAGGGGGTCCCGGTCCACAGCAGGGCAACGGGGACACGAAGCGATATATGACAGGTGGACTATTGTTGCCGACTGGCGCAGTCCCCTCAGACCGTGTCGTGCTCTACTGGGCGATGACCTGGCCTGCTGGGAGCCCCTTGTTCACCCCGACCTCCACGTGGTCCCATATCCTCCAGAGTGGGCAGCCGAAGGGGACCCTCATCAAGTTCGGCAAGCAGAGGGGGTCTATGCACGTCTGGCTCACCAAAGGGGGCCGGATTCACATCTCCGCGTCCCCCAAAGAGAGGGAGATGCTCCTCCAGAAGGTGCTCGCGTGGACGGAGCCCTACAACAACGGACAGCCGCCGGTTCAGGTGAGCTGGACCCCGCCTCTGCCGCCGGCAGATCGGAACCCGTCGGCCGTCCCACGGGGAGCTTTGCCCGGTGCATGGGAGGGGCCCCGCCCAGCCGGGGGCTATTGCAGTATCTTTCTAGCGGGGCGGCCGCGTCTGGGGCCCGTGGCTGCTGCCGCTGCCGACACAGGAAAACGACCGCTCCTCTTCTCTCCTTCCTTCTCCCTCCCCTTCCCTCCCACCCGGTCCTCTGCGGGACTGGGTCGGGTTGGGCTGGGCCGGGCTGGGCCGAGGACCCCCTGCCGGCGACGCAATCCCCCGCTGCCGCCGTCGTCGGCCGTTGCTGCTGCTGTCGCTGTCTCCGCGCCGCCGTCGCCGGCTGGCGTCATCCCTGTCGGCGTCGCGCGGCGGCCCATGTGCGGCGGCGTGTCCTTCGCTCCCCGCGGCCCCCATGGTGGGCCCAAAGGGTGCTCTGGCGAGGCCCGGGCGCCGCCGGAGGTGGTCGAAAAGCCCTTGTGGTGCCGAACGCTCAGCGGGCGAAGCGTTCAGCGCTTCACTCGGGTTTTTGGGCGCTCCTCGGCGGCCCGTGGTGCCTCTCGGGGTTCCTTCTCGGGCGGGATCCCTGGGGCCCTTTTCCCTTCGTCTCTCCCTCCCCCCCTCCCTCTCTCTTCCTGCCACGTGCTCTTTTGCTGTCCGGGCACGATCTCGCAGAGGCGTAGGTTCTGGCTGGCGAGGAACGCATCCCCCCCCCTGAGTCGCGGGAAGCGTGCGCGCGAGCTCTCCTGAGTGTGCGTCCCGGGGGCGCCGGCTACGCAGAGGCAAGCCTCCTGGGGGCCCACATCGAGAGTCGTGCGACCGAGTTCTCGGTCACCCGTCCGTGCTGAGACAGGATTGCAATTTCCCTTCTCCCTGGGTAACCCCCTCCTCCGTCCTCCAAAGGTCTCGCAGCTGCGTGCTGCGCTGACATGAGGCGGCTGGGGGTCGGGCGCGGGTCCCTGTCGAGGTGGGTTCTCTTTGGGTCCCCCTCCCAGGCCTTCCCACTCCTCGCAATTGTCTCTGGTTGGAGTCGGGTGCCCGTCTCCGGAGAGCAGGGTGGCGAGTCTTCTCACCCCCGCGCCCCAGGGGGCAGCCCCTCCTCCCGGGAGTGTGCTGCAGAGGCCGCCGTCGGTATCCAGCTAGGCTAGGTGGCCCCTCCGCTGTCGAGGCCTGCCCGAGGCTTCAACATGCCTGCCCACCTGGGGGCCCCACCAACCAACCAACCAACCCCTCCTCCTCCTCCTCCTCCTCCTCGTCCTCCTCCTCCTCCTCCTCCTCCTCCTCCTCGTCCAGCTCCTCCTCCTCCTCCTCCTCCTCTCCTCCCTCCTCCTCTTCCTCCTCTCTCCTCCTCCTCTCTCCTCCTCCTCCTCCCTCCTCCTCCTCATCCTCCTCCTCCTCCCTCCTCCTCCTCCCACTCCTCCTCCTCCTCCTCCTTCTCCCCCCCCTCCTCCACCTCCTCCCCCTCCTCCTCCCTCAAGCAACCCAGGCCCAGGCTTCCCTTGCCCCGGGCCGGCTCCAGGACCTCCGCGCGGTGCTTGGGGGATATCGTCGCAGCTGTCGCATGTTCGGCCGCCTTTGACGTTAACAAACACTGGAGTTTCAAACGGTGCTACGGGATGGGTGCCGGAGAGTGGCGCCCAAGGCTCACCCCGAAGGAGCGCAAGGCCCGGCGGGCGTGGGCACAGTGGTCGGCTGAGCGAGCCATCCACCGCCTAACCCGCGAGGTGGAGCAGCTCCGCAAGATGCAGTATATGGACCCCAACGTCGTCAGCTACAGCGTTGGGAGCAGCGAGCGGGAGCAATATGGACAGTGGGAGCATCCGCAGGACACGGCAGGAACGTGGGGGTCAGAACGGCAGTGGCAGCAGCGAGCAGAGCCGGAGGCGAAGCTCGAGTCCAATGCCATCAGCTACAACGACGAGGCTGTGTGGCGTGACGGGAAGGTCGAGCCCGACGTCATTAGCTACAGACCAGAGGACGGTGCATGCGAGAAGTCTTGGATGGCGGCAGTGGCAGCGACGAAGCACGAGCCCAATGTCATCAGCTACAACGACGGTGCATGCGAGAAGTCTTGGATGGGGGCAGTGGCGGAGCCGATGTTCGAGTCCAGCGCCATCAGCTACAACGACAAGGCTGTGTCGCATGACGGGAAGGTCAAGCCCGACGTCATCAGCTACAGACCCGAGGGCGGTGCATGCGAGAACCCCTGGATGGCGGCAGTGGCGGAAACGAAACACGAGCCCAACGCCATCAGCTACAACGACGGGTTTGCGTCGCGCGACGCCAAGGTCGAGCCCGACGTCATCAGCTACAGACCCGAGGGCGGTGCATGCGAGAAGTCTTGGATGGTGGCAGTGGCGGAGATGAAACACCAGCCCAATGCCATCAGTTACAACGACGGTGCATGCGAGAAGACTTGGACGGCGGCAGTGGCGGAGACGAAGCACGAGTCCAATGCCATCAGCTACAACGGCGAGGCTGTGTCGCGTGACGGGAAAGTCGAGCCCGCCGACACTAGCCACAGACCCGAGGACGGTGCATGCGAGAAGTCTTGGATGGCGGCAGTGGCGGAGACGAAGCACCAGTCCAATGCCATCAGCTACAACGACGGTGCATGCGAGAAGTCCTGGACGGTGGCAGTGGCGGGGCCGAATTTCGAGCCCAGCGCCATCAGCTACAACGACGGGACTGTGTCGCGTGATGGGAAGGTCGTGCCCGACGTCATCAGCTACAGACCCGAGGACGGTGCATGCGAGAAGTCTTGGATGACGGCAGTAGTAGTGACGAAGCACGAGCCCAATGCCATCAGCTACAACGACAAAGCTGTGTCGCATGACGGGAAGGTCAAGCCCGACGTCATCAGCTACAGACCCGAGTACGGTGCATGCGAGAAGTCTTGGATGGTGGCAGTGGCAGAGACGAAGCACGAGCCCAACGCCATCAGCTTCAACGACGGGGATCGGACTCGCGGTGCGAAGGTCGAGCCCGACGTCGTCAGCTACAGAAAAAGAAAAATCACTGAGCCAGACGTGGAAGCGTTTCTCCGCGAGCGAGCTGCAGAACAGAAGGAATTTGAAGATAAATGCATCACACGAGCCATGAGACGGAAATCCCAGCCTTTCGTGCGACGCGTTGCACACCTGGCGGCCGCATCACAAGGCAGTAATGGGAGATGGATTCACACACAGGTTGGAGTCGGTCGTACTCAACGTTACGAATGGAAATGGGAGTCTACAAGTAGCAACACACCGACGAAGCAGGACGGCGGCAGTGAGGTTGGAGACCTTCTCTCAGCTCTCGGTGCAGCCATTTCCTCAGCGTCGACGCGTTGAACCACTCCCTGCTGTCGAAGGCCTTCTGAGTGGAAGGTGGAACCGCACCGTGCGGTCGAGCGGAATATATCGCTACGCGATCAGGCAGAGACTCCAGAGACTCCTCCTCCTCCTCCTCCTGCTCCTCCTTCCTCCTCCTCCTCCTCCTCCTCCTCCTCCTCCTCCTCCTCCTCCTCTTACTCCTTCCTCTCCTCCCCCTCTTCCTCTCCCCTCCCATCCCAAGAGCGGGTCCTGGAGGAGACGGGCACGGGGCCTTTCTGGCCGCGCCAAGCCTGGGCCACTGAGAGATCCCCCGACCGACCGCGATCGGCACAAAGAACGCCCATCCACAGACGCTGCGTCGACGGTGCCACCCCCGGACCTCCCATTTCAGTGGTGCGTTCGCGGTCGTTGTCGGGGTGCAAGCATCGGCATAACAAAAACGCCCAAAACTCCACCGCCAAGGCCACCCCGTTTTCAACATTGAAAGTGGGGGGCACGGGGGGCTCTGAACACAGCAGCGTTGCTCTTCATGCCTGGTCTTTTTTTACGCCAACGCAAGTAGGTAGCGGCCCGCAAACCAGAGAACCCCCCTGAACCCAAAGTGGTATCGCGCCGCATCGCCGACGCATCGACGATGCCCCGGCGGCGTCGGCGTGAGGGAAACAGGGCTCCAAAATCGAGCCGCGTCGCCTGTGCTTCGGCGGTGCGGCACGACCCTCCGACCCCTACTCCCTGCTCCGGCCCCATTGGCTCGTTTCCCAGCGCCACCACCATGAGTGGGAGGGGGAGGGGGTCCTCCTCCTTCTCTTCTTCCTCCTCCTCCTCCTCCTCCGCCTCCTCCTCCGCCTCCTCCTCCTCCTCATCCTCCACCTCCTTCCCCCCTCCAACTTCTCGTGGCGGTGGGGGTGGTGGTGGTGGTGGTGGAAAGCGGGCACATTAATTCTGGGAAGCCCGGAACAACGACCCGCAAGCGGAGGCCCTGCTTCTCTGGGCAGTGCGCTGGGCCAGAGTTGCTGGCCCCCGTGAGGGGGGGGCAACAGGCGGCACTACCGAACCTTTGAGGGCAACGGCGCGCACTTGGCCACGCCGACGCCTGCTGAACTTGCAGAGAGGGCCCGGCAACCAAGGCCCCTGTCCTCGCTTTGGCGCCTGGGCTGCAACCCAGAGTTCCGACGTCGTGCCTTTTCAAAACGTGGACCCCCCGGAGGCCCGGACCTCGTCCCGGGACCGCCTTTCTCCTCCTGGGCAGCGTGTGGGCGGTGTCACAGGGCGTGGTGACGGGCCCCACGAGACCGAAAACTGCCAAACACCTGCCGTCGCAAGTCTTTGGGCGAGGATGTCATGGCTGTGGAGGGCCTCCGAGGGCCAAGCGCGCCGCGCGCCGTGCGGGGCGCGCCTGCAGAACGACTGGGCCGACCACGCGCCGCAGGACCTCGGCGCGCACCCCCCCCGGGACGCAGCCGCCCGCGGGGGGAGCGGCAGCGGCACGGGGGAGGAGGGAGGGGAGAGAAGAGGAGGGACGGGAGAGAAGAGAGGAAGAAAGAGGAGGAGGAGGAGGAGGAGGAGGCGGAGGAGGAGGAGGGCGGAGGGAGAGAGGAGGGAGGAGGCGAGGAGGAGGGGGAGAGGAGAGGAGGAGGGGAGGAGGAGGAGGAGGAGGAGGAGGGGGAGGGGGAGGAGGAGGAGGAGGAGGGGGGGGAGGAAGGGGGGGAGAACGAGCATCCGCGCTCCCGACCGCATCGCGCCCGCGGGGGGCGGGAGGGCGCCGCCCGCTCTCGGGCCTCCCTCGGAGGGGGGCGCCCTTCACGTCGAGCTCGGCGTGGCTGCGCGCGCGGAGCTCGAGCAGCACCGGCTCGTCACGCCGCGGGGCCGCCGCCCCGCGTTTTTTTTTTTTTTTTTTTTTTTGTTTTGTAATTTTATTTGTTATTTATTTATATATATATATATATATATAAAAGGCACGGTTCTCGCCGTGTTAGGGCCGCCGCCCCGCGGGGTTGGGCACCGTCCTCGCTTGTGACTACCTCCCAGACCACCCCAACCCAACCCGAAGACCCGAATTTGAGTCGAAGTTCGGGTTGGGGGGGGGTACGGGTTCCATGTGTTTTTTCAATGTTCCCCGACCCCCCTCCCACTGGAAATCGAGGATAGATTTGGGCCTTCGGGTTGGGTTGGGGTGGTTTGGTGGGTGGTGAGCTTGCCTGCCCGGCGCTCCGCGGCTCCGCCGATGGCGGGCGCGGCGCCGGCTCCGCTGAGGGCTCCGGGGCTTTCCCGCGGGACGGCGCTCGCCCCTGCCCTGGCACCCCAAAGAGCGGGGCCATGCTACACCGAGCTCCGTACTCGCACCTGCTGACGGCGACCCGAGGGGCGGGACCACGCCGTCTCCCGGCGACCCGAGGGGCAAGACCACACCAGGCAGGGCCGACGCCCTGGGCGACCCGAGGAGCGGGAACCTGCCCTCGACTGGTGGCCCGAGGAGCGGGGCCACAGCAACTGTCGTACCCGCCGCTGGTGGCCCGAGGAGCGAAACCACACCGGCCGTCGTGTTCCTCTCCGTTCGTGGCCCGAGGAGTGGGGCCCACACCTCGTGCCCGGCTGGCGACCCGAGAAGCGGGACCAAACCAGGCGTCGCCGTGTCCGCTTCGGCCCCTGTCGTCGCGACTGGGATCGGCTCGACAACGAGCTCGTGTGCTACTGGGTGCCTCCTCCCCCCCACGCATGTGGTTGAGCCTCGTCCGCGCAACTTTGTCGTTTGGAAGCGTCGTGGGCCCTCCTGCACCTCTCGCACCGCATGCATTGCTTGAAGATCACAATGCTGGCCGCCGTGAGCTGGTGGCCCTGATGTGCTACGTCGACTGCGTGTGGGTTTCCTGTGCACAAATCTGCTGCCAAATGGCTCAGATCTGGACCTCTCGCCACACATGTCGCATCCGCTGCTTAGCTTCACCTTGCGAACGTATTCTTATTCGGCGTTTCGACATTGGGCGGAGGGGGGAAGAGGGGGGGGGCTGGCCCCAGACCTCTGCTTCATGCGACTGTTTGCCCCAGTGCGTCCTATTGGGGTGACTCCGCCTGCTCGAAACAGGAGCAAAAAACAGCCAAGATATACTCCATGGGGGGGGAGGGGGTGCGAGGGCCTGGGCCGATCGGCAAAACAAAGAACCAGAAAACGATCACCTTGCCGCCTAGCCTGCGGTCCGTGTCTGAGCGGGCCACCTTTGCTGCCTCGTACCGGCGTCGTCGGGCAGGTAAGGCTGGGGGGTGGCATCCCTCTGCAGACGGGCTTGTGCTCTTCTTCCCCAGACACTGCCGTCCGTCACCGTGCGCCCGTCGCCTTCACGTGCCCCTGCGGTCTTTGCGGCCCTGCTTTCCTCGGCCAGCCTAGCTTTCTTGCCTGGCTGAACCCTTTCGCATTCCCCGTTCATGATGCACTCCTGGACTCGTGGCTTGGCCCCCTGCCTGTGCTCCCGAGCCCGTGGTGGGCCTCTTGACGAGCTGGCTGATCGGAGCCAAGGCCCCGCCTGAGCTGTCCTCGTCGCTGCCCGCCTGGGCAGTCTTCCTGCTGCTGCTAACAGCTGTAGGAGACGATGTCTGTCGCCGTGCACACCCTTCCTGCCCCTCCCACCCGGCAAGGACCTGGCTGGGAGGGGGGGCACATTGGGGAGGGTGGGAGGGGGGGCAGTCTTCCTGGCCCTCTTCCTCGGTGCTGGCTTTGGTCTCCCGCTGATAAGCGCTGCTGTCGCTGTTGCCGCCGCAGTCAGGGTTGGGTGGAGGAGGAGGAGGAGGAGGAGGAGGAGGAGGAGGAGGAGAGGAGGAGGAGGGGGAGGAGGAGGAGGAGGAGGAGGAGGAGGAGGAGGAGGAGGAGGAGGAGGAGGAGGAGTTGGGGTGGTTTGGTGGGTGGTGAGGGCTCCTCCCACGCTGGGCCTCACCTGCGGTCCTCCGCTCGGCTCGCTCCCGCCCTGGCCTCGCGGCATTGCTTCGTCGGCGGCTCCGTGGCCTGGTGCCCCTCGGGACTGCCGCCTCGGGGCTCGCAGCTGTTGCCCGTGGAGCCTGACGTACGCCTGCCCGACCTCCTCCACCGCGCTGTGGACCAGCCTGACGAGCCCGCGTCGTCTGGGCGTCGCCTGGTTAGACATAGCCTGGTGAAAAAAATGCCTCCTGCGGCACTCCCGAAGGAATTCGTCGAAGCGCATCTGTGGACTGGCCTGCCTGAAGTGCTGCCTCAGGCTGCCGTGCTGCGCCAGCTATGCTTCGTGCAAGTACGCCACACACCACTCCGCCCAGTTATCCTCGTGTGTCTGCTCCTCGCCCCGCTTGTCGTCAGACCACATGCTGGCCCATGTCTGTACTCGTCGCCGACGGATGTGCGCTTGGTCGTTTCGCGTAGACCCGTACTATCAGGGGGCATCTAACACACGTCACGTGCAAGTGGGCTGGTCGCTGGCGCCGTTCCCGACGCACTCACTGTAGGCGCGCCGAACCTCAACCTCCGAGTTCGCCGTGCGTGCCACGACTCTCTCGAGCTTGGCCGAGCTATCACATTCGAAACCTTCCGTGCTGTTCGCATTCACGTTTGCCTGCATGCCCGTGCTGTCCCTGGGCTCGGTCGGTGTTGGCAAGTACACACGCTTTGCCGCTCTACACCGCCATCGTCCTGTCCATTTAGACCTTCTGGGTGTCTCGCCACCTCGTATGGCCAACTCTTGGGGTGGCTTAGCCTCCGCGTCCGCAGCTTCGTCGCCGAGAGCGAGCCTCCGATCGACGGTACAGTAGCCAGACCTGCTACTGGCTTGGTGCGCTCTGACCCTCTCGAACCCGATCCTCTTTATGCGAATGTCCAGGTTCATCCTCCATCTTCTTCTGCACGGCTCCGCATACGCGTTCTCGGCTGAGCAGCAGTAGTATGTCCCAACCTTGATGGCATCCAGGAGGTTCTTGTAGTCGGAGTAGGTCATGACTGGTGGCACCGCAGGAGGAGGAGGAGAGATAGGCTGAGGCGGATGAAGAGACAGAGGAGGAGAATAATGATGAGGAGGATGGGGGCCTAGCGATAACAGAAAAGTTGCGTTGTTATTGAGGCCGCCGCCGACCGAAGCGGCTCCCAAGCCACGATGTTGCAGTGGACACGGCAGTTGGCTGAACTCTTGATATAGGAGGGGAGCATTCAGCCCTCGCAGAGGGGCACCGCGCACAAAGCGCAACGCCTGCTGGGACCAGGACCCTGAAGGGAAGTTGCACCTTCCTGGCCGCAGCCGCTTTGGAAATTGGCACCGCGCGTGCAACTCAAGCCCCCCCCCGAGGAAGCACCTTACCTGCAGAAGTGGTGCCCCTTTGTTGGGCGACGCAAGAGAAGGGAGAAACAAGCAAGCAACGAGCCGTTCTTAGTCAGCGGACGGACGAACAATTCTTAGTCAGCGGACGGGGAAACGATCCGAGTCGGTGAAGCGGATGTGGGGCGCGCGCACGCGAGCTGAGACCCATGAGGAAGGCGAGGCGAAAGGGCGAGAGGAAGAAGCAGGCCGCCGAAAGGCATCCCAAGCGACCCCAAGATCCCAAGATGTATCCAAGAGGCCTCCGGCCCACAAGCCAGGCACCATGGCGGTTTGGGCCGAAAACTGCTCGTCACGAGCGGAAATGTGCGGAGTACTCGCTGGCATGTGGAGACGTTCCTTTGGACCTGCAGCATTTGCGCCTATGCCGAGCAGCCGATCTGTGGTGAGGGCTTGAGTGCAGATGCGCCGACGGGGCTCAGGCACTCCTCCACGGGGGCGAGGTGGGAGGGCACCCCAAAGGCGAAGGAGACGAAACATGCGACCCTCTGCCGTGCTTGCTTGCGGCTTGGGCGTGCTACTGGCGTATAATCTGGCATCTCACACGGCTTCCTCGTGGTTGCAAGGTGATGCTGGCTTTTCTACGCGGTGCATCCTGTCTTCTAGATGTTGCTGGTGCCCTTTAGAAGTCGCCTTCACTTTCTCTGCGGTCGGGGAGTTGACTGGGTTCCTCGTTTCGGCGGCTCCGGCGTCTTCTTATAACAATGGCTCTTGTCTTTCTCGCCCCTGCCTGCGCCGACGGCCATGCGCCAACCAATGCCCGGTCCTGACGGCATCGGGCGCCGACATGCTCCGGCCTCCTTCCTCAGGCTTGCCCTCGTGGGCTCTTCGTCTGGATGGTCCTCATCAGGTCCATGCTCCAGTGCAGTCAGGCAGCCTCCAAACCCTCAGAGGAGGGGAAGGAGGAGGCGAAGGAGGAGGAGGAGGATGAGGAGGGGGGGGATCGAGATGAGGAGTAAGAGGGGAGGAGGAGGAGGAGGAGGAGGAGGAGGAGGAGGAGGAGGAGGAGGAGGAGGAGGAGGAGGAGGAGGAGGACTGATCCCCAAACGACCTCCTCTGAATGCTCGGTGAGAGCGCTGCACAACAACTGCTGCCCTCAAAGCCG